CTGCGACTAGGCTGCTAATCACGTAGTCAACTTACGTGGAGTGGTTAAACAGGAAAATTACATAGAGTATAGATTGATTAACGACTGTTTGCAAGCATTTTTAACATATTGTGGATTCGCATTTTGGAAATATAGGCGGGAATTTTATTTTATTCAAAATATACGTGAAAAATAAACAAGAAAACAAAGAAAAAATCAACGAAGACCGTTTTTACTTGAGATGTCTACGTTAAACCAAAGTGTACTCTTTGGCAAGTAATATTTCAAATCCGAGTTAGTGTTTTAGACGTGTTTCTAAACACAAGTGCCAAAAAACGATATATCAGTTTGTGTGCGCGATAAGGCGCTATATCTGGTAGAAAATGGAAGAGCCGAAGTGAATATATATTAGACGGTAAACATTACTGTTAAGTTGCTGTATTATTGCTGTAGTGTTTATTATGTTAGTTGGTAAAAAAGTTGGTTTTCCTAGATTTATGTAGTTTCCAAACGTTCAGAAAAAGTGTTAAATGTAAAGTGCAGTTAGAAAAAATTTCTAAATACAGCTTACTGTATTTAGAAATAATTCTAAACATATCAATTAAATATATTTGCGTAATCTTTTGTTTACCCCTCAATCCCCTGAATTTCCCTATTGTTCAAACTGCCTTTCCACTTGAAGTAATTAAAGTCCTGGTCTAGACGTGGTATCCAGATAGATACACAAATGTAAATTACAACATGTCATTGGCCGAAATGCTATGCATATCTAATGATGTGTGAGAATTATATATCACGTTTTTTCCCGTAATGGGCCCTACGTCGTCTTCGAGAAATCTTCCCGTGCAAAAATATATTTTGTATTCGCCAAAAAACCAAAGCGATAGCATTTGAAGAGTTTATGTGCTAATCAATTTATACTGTTAACATCCGCCCGGGCATACCCCTGGGCATTTGAACTTTTTGAAATTTTGTGGTCAAAAATTTCTCACTCCCAGGACAAAATTGCTGTTCAAATGCCCCACATATAACAGAAAATTGATGGGCGAATGCCCCAACCCCCGATCATTCTGACTGTAATTCTGTGAAAACATACACTGAATTCTGAAGGTTACTTCAACAGTTTAATTAATAAATGAGACTCTGTATTAATTAAACAACTTACACCTCATTACAACTGGGGATAGAGCAAGGTGTCAAATGCCCGGGGTATGCCCGGGGGGGGGAGGGGGGGGGTGTTAACTGTATAAATTGATCGGCGCATTATATTGTCAGGAAACATTCACAGGGAAGACAGGTATTGAAAATCCCAGCTAAGCATTGCTTTTCATTATTGTTTTACTGAAAAATGTTGTTCACTCCTATACAAGCACCATTTTTAACTACGTTTTGAGAAGTTAACAGCATAGTTAACTTTAACTATACTTTTTAACTAAAGTTAATTAACGCTAACTACTTTTTTATACAACCGACTTAACTATGTGGTTAAAGTTAACCACTAATGCACTATTTAACTACAAAATAGTGATTAAAAAAGTGATTAAGATTTTATACAACCGGCCCCAGCAGCAGACTTATAGCACAGATTAAGTATGAGTTCTTAATCTGTGTTTGCAGGGGTGCAGCAAAGCTGTTCCAACAACATGTCAACACAGCAAAATCCAAATTTCTTAGCAAGAAAAAAAATCTTGTTTCAAGCGAGACATGGCTTGAAATAAGATATCAAGTAAACTTTGCCTTTCCAAGCAAAAGAGTTTACTTAAAACAAGTACATATGAACGTAGTTGCTAAGAAAAGACGTGGTAATTTGTTACTTGCCAAAAATAATAATTTACATAAAACAAGCATAAATTGACCAACCGAGAAACAACTTGGGATTTGAAATGAGAAATCTGGCCTGCGTGGCAGGCCCTCAATTTTATAAGATAAGTAGGATTTTGGCGGGCATGGGGGAGGATTGAGGCTCCCCCGTGCCCGCTAAAATCCTGCCCGCTGCAAATCAGGCCCCCATAAAATTGAGGGCCTGCCACTTACCAAGAATAATAATTTACTTAAAACAAGCATAAATTCACATACTAAGAAAACTTTGGCACTTGAAATGAAAAAGCAAGTTCCAGCTACATCTAACAAAATCCAAAGAACTGTGTATCTCTTTCACCCGTACAAAACGGCAACACACCCCAGTCACTATTGGAAATAATTCAGTCGAACTTGTTAAATCAATACAGATTCTAGGAGTAACGGTTCAAGACGATCTTAAGTGAAACTTACACGTTGACACTTCGATAAAAAAAGCGGCAAAGAGATTATATTTTTTGGTTAAACTGAAACGCGCAAATGTTCCAGTTAAGCAACTAACAAACTTTTATGTTGCATGCATATAAGAACTGTTCTATTATACGCTTGTCAAGTGTTTCACCACAGCCTACCTGAATATCTCAGCATAAATATGGAACGAATCTAAAAGAGAGCCATGCGGATCATACATGGTTATGACACACCTTACGAACAAGCCTTAGCGACCTCTAGAATTCCCAGTCTGTCTCAACGTAGAGATGAACTTTGCTCCACCCTTTTGGATAAAATTGTCGTGCAACAAGAAGAACAACTATATAAGTATCTACAGCCAAATACTAGAGAAGATAAAGTGAACCTTCGAAGAAAGCATCCCTTCGTGATCCCACGTTGCAAAACGAACAGATTTAAAAATACATTTTTGAACGCGAGTGCTATAAACTACAACAAGATTCATTCCTTGTAAATAACTGTATATAACTACGATTTTTTAGATGTAAATTTATACTACAAACGAATTATTTCTGTAAGCCTTTGTAATTCAGCTTTTCCTGCAAATAAGGCTTCTAAGTAAACCAATCTATTTCTATCTCTCAGAAATAACCTTATACTTAAAGTGCCTGTATCGCTTAATAATTGTGGGATCTTTACGGATTTACAGAAAAAGTTAGTTCATAAATTCTAGAACCTTTTTTGATTTAGTTCAATAATTCCATGTTTATAGACTGTTAAACATGGCTTTTTTACCCTTTTCGCAAAAATTTCCGTCGTGCTTAAATTTGCTTCGAGGCCTGGGACTCTGGAACGCGAGCGTAAGCAAATAGTAATCAGTATAGATTATATTACAATTTGCCGTTATAACTTACTAAAATAATAATATTTGCAAGAAAAGTCGGTTTATTTAGCTCAAAATCGTCTTCCGGTGCTGACAAATGTTCATATACGATTACGCAAAATATAAAATCGTGGTGAAACATACAAAACGACTTCAAAATCAAATTCGAAAGTGTATGAGCCTTCCTATATATGGTCGAGTATTGTCGAGCATGAAAAAGTTGGCATACACTGACAAGGTATGGTTTGAAAAATACATTTGAATGCTGAAAGAATATAACAGGGATATGACATATATTATTTTCAGATGGAACGTGCAGTACGTGCATAATCGAGTTAGTTCTTAATTGGTAAGTGAGTCGAATATTTTCTATTTGTAAATATCGTGTGCTAGTCACATTTGGCAATTAACATTCTGAGACTGCGAGTAAACAAACGAAAAAATTAATATGTGTGTATTTTAGATTCAATAGCTTAACCAGCATTGTCAAGGAACAGGAAGAAATTATATCGACTGAAGAACGAATAACTGCATTATCTGATGTTTCATGTTTGGTGATAAATCGGTTCCATATGATCATATATCATCTGGACAGTTTATGTATTCAATTTTGATAAGCATGAAGGGAATATTCATTATATCAATAAGTCTTGTTCAGTTTCTATAAAATAAATGTATTAGCCTAATCGTTCATGCATTGTGTTGAATTAATGTCCATGGTTAAATGTCGTGCATGGAAAAATTTCCAGAAATCTTTGTTAATATACGGTATGTACTTGACCAGGACTTCCTTAAGATGGTGAAACCATGCAGGTGAAACCAGATATAGTTTTGAAGAGAGAACTGCTTGAAACAAGTAAATTATCCTCGCTTCTTTTACTAGATTTAAATAATAACATACTTAAAACTAGTTCTTGAAATAGGAATTGAAACACTCATTTCAATTAAGGACTAAATTCCTTGTTAAGAAAAATGGGGGGGGGGGTGCTGTACGGGTCAGAGACGGGGACTGGGGAGTAATTCAAGATGGCGTGACTGAGTGAAAGCTTAAATTGTAGATTCTAAGATTGAATAAAACCGTTGAGTTTGAGTACATTATATTGGCGACGAGGACTAAAATTACAACAACATTTTACTCTGGACACATTAGAATTGATAAGGGACACGGATTTTATAATAGTGTTTTTTATTAAAATATCACGTTTGAAATTCAGAAATTGAAATCGGAAAATCGATAAAAATTTTGGGAATAATCCAATATGGCGACTGCATTGGATTTGTCAGATTTGGGAAATTTTGATCCGTATTCGAATCCAACTACATTGTCTCTACGATGGAAAGAATGGTTGCGGCGCCGCAAATTTCGAAACCGTCGACGGTCGAGCACATCATTGATGGTCGAACACATCATTAATCTCGTTTCCAAATCGCGCCAGCGGTAATTAGCGCGTACAAACCATTCGGTGACATCTTGTACCAAGACGATGTCAGTGACTGGAGATTTCACGCAGTATAAGGTTTCAGATTTTTTGAAAAGATAGCGGGTAGCAGTCGAAAAGCAAAGCAGCCA